CAGCCAGGTGCAGTTCCCAGCCCTGTCCAAGAGTTAGGCAGGCCGGGTTCGGCCCACGGGCTGCGTCTGACCCAGCCCTGCGCGACCCTGGTACCGGTCCCTGTTCCACGGAGCTAGCAATGGATGCGTGGCTCTGTACCTACCAGGGCGCGGCCTGTCACGGTGTCTGTATCTCTGCCAGCTGTCTGCGTCTGTCGCATGTAGAACAAAGCTGCAGGTGCTACTAGAACAGCAGGCTGGAGGCGGGGGAGTCAGGTTCTGTCACTGAGCTGCTGGGTGACCCTGGGCAAGTCGCTTTGCCTCTCTGGGCTTGTTTCCCCATCCGTGAAATGGGAATCATGATGCAGGCTGCCCATGAGATCTGTGCATGAAAAGTGCCAAGGAGGAGTCAGGTGGCAGTTTCAGCCACGCCTGGAGGCTCTGGAACTAGTGGCACTAACCAGGAGCAGGATCCACTGGGGCTTTTCCCTCCACATGATTATTTAGTGAATTGCCGTTTCGCATTCCCCTTTGGGGTGATTGTTCAGCCGGTTGTGGGTCCCAGTGTCACTGCTTGTCCCTGGAGCGACTGGTACCCGGGACGCAGACTCCCCCAGGCTGCTTCTGGCCAACCATCTGCTCAGCATTTCACAGGGGGGTCATGGTGGCTCTGCCAAACACAAGGAGCAGCTGATTGTGGTGGCTGTGGGGTGAGGTTTGGGGGGATAGTGGAAGGGATCTGTTCAATGTGCAAAGTTAGGTTTCCAAGCTGGTACAGTGAGGCCTGTCACAAAGGCAAGGGGAGGTCTCAGGGCTAACTGGATTAGTGCTGAGAACAAGGGACATCCAGGGGGCCAGTGTAGACTTGAGCATTGACGAAGACGGCAGAACCTCTAGAAAAGTCTCTGAAAGAGGACACCATTTGCTGGGGAAGAGACTGTACCTGTAGGAGACGAATGTCTCAGATGGGTGGCCGTGTTAGTCTGTAACTTGTATCTTGCCAACTCTGCCTACACATCTACACCAGTGACACGTCACGGGACCTAACCACTTCGGCCACCACGTCAGGGGCTCGTACAACTGCACATCCACCAGCGTGATCTCAGCCATCAAGTACCAGCAGTGCCCCTCGGCCATGGACATTGGCCAAACTGGACAGTCTCTGCAACAAGGGATTAATGACCTCGTCAGACATCAAGAATGGTCACACACATAAGCCTGTAGGGGAACATTTTAACCTGCCTGGCCACTCCTTCCTAGATTTAAAAGCAACCATTCTACACAGGAATTTCAAAAGGTTTTGATCTGAGGAAGCGGGTCTGGCCCACGAAAGCTCATCCCCTAAGAAACCATCTTGTTAGTCTTTAAAGTGCTGCCTAGTCCTGTCTTTTGTAAAAGCCAACCACAGAGAGAAAGTGCAGAATCGGCCTCCGTGTGCAAATTTGTCAGATCTCTCCGGCTCGAGCCAAGGCTGCTATAAAACCTGCTCCTCACATTCAACACCCAACTGACATCAGAAGCCACGGTGGGGACACTGCCCGCCCACTCAGCTGGCCTCATTAGCACCAGCCCTCCTACTGACAGGAATTCCCCCTACATTGGCGGGTTCCCCCTTTCCTCTGTCCATTGGGTTTGCCCACCAAAGGAGCTGACAGGAATTCCCCCGACATTGTGCGGGTTTCCCCTTTCCTCTGTCCATTGGGTTTGCCCACCAAAGGACAGGAGACTCATTGTACCGTAGGAGATGAAGGATGGGCACAATTACCCATTACGGAAGAGAAATTCTGCCTGGTGCAGTTGCCCATGGAAGGTCGATGCCAGCAATCTAGACTGAGCTAGGACTGGCCATTGGGTGAGAGATGCCTTATCTGCCTTAAGTACAGGCTGTTTGGCTTCCACCTGGACCTCTGTATTTCCACCCCCACATTTGCTTTTGTCTGAACCTCAACCCCCCAGTGTAAAAGAAACGTCAGTTGCTTTTGCTGGCGACACGTCTAAGGGCCTCATGTTCAGGAGGACGGCAATGAGGTGAAACCAGTGAGCTGGGGGCTCTGCTTCCCTGGAGCCAGTGATGTGTAAAAGGGAAGTCAAATCCCTCGGAGCCATTGATTCCCCTATGAGGGGCATGTACAATATACATACATTGCTAATGCTTAGATATATTTGCTATTTGTATAGGAGTAAGACATGACAAAGGTCAAGGCCTGTCACAGGTAATAACTTATAATAAGGAGACGAGGGGAAGTGAAACCAGTCTTCTGTTAAGTAGAGATATGGATAGATTCCACATCCTTTAAACTTGTGACCGGCTCAAGCAGGAAAGGAAAAAGGGAAGTATGGCTCGCCCATTGTTCAGCAAAAGTGAATGAATGTAATACAGCTGTAACCGCAAAGTCAGCAAGTAGGCACTGTATTTAACCTCATTTGGAAAATTAACCTGACCTATAGGAATGCTAAACATCAAAAATGAAGTAACCTATCATGTTAAGGCACCTAAACCAGGAAGGATGTTAACCCTATAAGAACCCCTGCATATGAGATGTTGGGGGTCGGCTCTGCTTTGAACATTGAGTTCCTTAGCCGTACCTTGGTTGCAACCAATAAACTTGAGTTGGACCCAGCCTGAAAGTGTGACTCTCTTCTTGGGGTAAATCAGACTAGCCTCCAAGGGGACGAAACCAGCAATTTATGCAACACCAGCACATTGGTGTATGTTGGGCTGGGCAGTGACAAAGGGTCTGGGTGCTCCAATGTAGCAAAGGGGATTCGTACATTTGTAATGGGCAGGGGGAGTGCTGACCAGCACCCGGTGCTAAGGGGTTAACTCAGGGAGCTAGCAACGTTGGCCAGGGGGCCAGGGGAACCAGTCAAGATAGAGGGTTGAAATTGGAATTGGCTGTAGGTTCCCTGCCTGCTCCTTTGGGTGGGAGAGAAAAACTAGGAGCCGAGAGACACAGAATGATTGAAACCCAGGCAGGACGGCCATGCCTCCGAGGAATTTGGGGCACGGAAGTGGACTGAATAAAGAAGATTGGAAGTAAGTAAAGGAAAAGTGGATCTAGTTGCAGTCCGGGTATTTTTCTTTATTTTGTGGTTTGGTTTGAACAGCTCTCTGTGACTCTACCTCCCTTCCCCATTTCCCACCGAGCTCTGTGCCCACAGATGTTTCTCTGGCTGTGTTTTCCTTAGTTGCTCTGTAACATCTAGCAAGCAATTCTGCTGCATCAAGTATGTCTCTTGTTTTGTAATAAAAATCCCTTTTTTTAAGGTGATGATTTGATTTGTGTGTCCTGGAAGGTATAGGAGGTCTGTCTATCTGTCTGTCTGCAGGCCTCTGACTGAGAGGTCAGCTGCCAGAGACTGCAGCTTGTTTTCCCCCTTTTTCAAGCTCTTTTGGGGCAAAAGACTTTGGGGTCCCCTTGGGGGTGGGTTCAAGTGCTCACCCCTGGTTTTTTAGGGATAAAAACACTCGAGTCCCCAAAATCTGTGCATTGTGATTCTGGGGGGAAGATGTTGTAACCAGGGCCTACGGAGGCAAAGTCGTGAAGCTCTCTTGCAGGCCCTCTCCTCCTGCACTCGGATTGCCGGCGTGGGGAACAGCCCCGAGCGCACTGCTAGCAGGCCTCCCACAACCTCCGCTTGTTCTGACTCGTCTTCAGGCCGGGGCAAAGCCCAGACCTTCCGGTCAGCACTTGGCTTTATGGGCCTGCTCCAGCTGGCTCCGGGAAGCAAGGCCTGTGCTCAGCGGGGTGGCAAGTCTCTGGCTGTTCATTAGACCGTCGCCCGGGGCAATTCCAGCATTTGGGAATCCGTGGGCCATTCCTTTGCTGATGGGGAGGGGGGACACCGGAGACCCCCTGGCTGTAGACCCACTGCCTTTAGCTGTAACTGGCTACAGGTCGTCCACCTTCAGCTTAAGGGAGCCCCCATCTCAGCTCTGCCCATTGTCCCAGTGGAGTTCAAATGGTGGCCCCTTAAATAACTTCTGTCCCAGGCAGGATGGGAATGGGAGGGCCTGGCAGGAGTCCAGAGAGCCCCTGGCACGGGGGAGAAAGGGAGACCCTGGGGGGAGGAAGGGCTAATGGGGGCGCACACAGGGCGGTAGGGGGACACTCAGCTCCTGGCATAAAATCGTAGAATCCCAGGGCTGGCAGAGCCCTCAGGAGGCATCGAGTCCAACTCCTGCCCAAGCAGGACCAAGGCCAACTCAGGACCTGCCCAGCCAGGACGTAACAATTTCTAGGATGGAGATTCCACCCCCCTCCCCAGGGAACCCAGCCCAGGGCTTCCCCACCCTCCTCGGGAAATCGTTTTTCCTAATGTCCAACCTAGACCTCCCCCACTGCAACTTGAGACCATTTCTCCTTGTTCTGCCGCCGCTGAGAACAGCCTCTCGCCAGCCTCTTTGGGACCTCCCTTCAGGCTGCTCTCACATCCCCCCTCACTCTTCTCTTCCGCAGACTAAACAAACCCCGAGAACAGCCTCTCCAGCCTCTCTGGAACCCCCCCGAGAACAGCCTCTCCAGCCTCTCTGGAACCCCCCCGAGAACAGCCTCTCCAGCCTCTCTGGAACCCCCCCGAGAACAGCCTCTCCAGCCTCTCTGGAACCCCCCCGAGAACAGCCTCTCCAGCCTCTCTGGAACCCCCCCGAGAACAGCCTCTCCAGCCTCTCTGGAACCCCCCCGAGAACAGCCTCTCCAGCCTCTCTGGAACCCCCCCGAGAACAGCCTCTCCAGCCTCTCTGGAACCCCCCCGAGAACAGCCTCTCCAGCCTCTCTGGAACCCCCCCCAGCACAGCCTCCCCGCTCTTACGAGGGGGAATCAGGCAGTGGGCAGAGCATGGAGGAAGAGAGCGCAGGACCCTGGCCTGGGAAAGGGCGAATGGGTGCACACAGGGTATGTCTGCTCAGGGAAGAACAATCTGATGGGCCCGGGGGTGTTCCATTGTGATTTAGCGGTTGCTTGGGCTCTGGGCTCCTCCCACTCCACAGGGGTAGCACCAAGCCAGACGTGTTCTCTGACAAAGCATCTATTTAATCATCTATTGCAAAGGCGTCAGAAAGGCCGGCTTCCCGTCCCCCCTGTGGAACACAGAACAACGTTCTAACTTTATACAGTCCCTTGCTATACAGGAGTATTCACAACGATACACGTTAGTAGCTGTCTTTGCTGGACGACCGCTCATATCGTCCTCTAAACAGAAAAAGACAAACGTGGAGAGATTAAAGACGATCCCATCTAGCTCCAGGAAAACTGGGTTTTCACTGAACGTGCAGCAGGATTTCCTTCCTTCAGCTCCTACACATCAGAGCATGGCATGGTGCTGCCACTACGGAGCCTAGGAACCGCTCGGCTCCCCTCTTCATCTGTGCATGCGTTTTACAGCGATGCTAACAGCTCCGTCCTGGAGCCGGGGCCGCGGTACGAGCTCACTTGGTGCAGACGCAGGACAAAAGCTCTAGAAGGCCTGACCCAAAGTCCAGCGAGCTAAGCCCTTGATCCAGCAGGCCCAGGGCTGAGGCCCGCTCCTGAAGGCATGCAGGCAGCTCACTCTCATAGGAGTTAGGCTCCCAAGTATCCTTGAGGGCTTGGGCCTTAGTCTCACTGACAGGGCTGTCTCAAGGGGGGCATGGGGCCTGAGGCACTCCTCCCCACAGGCCCAGGTTTGGGGGCTGGGGCATCCCCCCGCCAGAGGCCCTGCCCCTTCCTCGAGCTCTACCCCTAAGCCTCCGTGCCACCCTCCAGGCCCACTGCACTTTGCTTCCCCTGCCCCGAGAAGCCGAGAGCAGCAGGCCGGGAGAGGGCGGCAGGGCGGGGCAGAGCCGCTT